TCCATCCTTCCTAGGAAGTCACTGAGGTTATAAACCAAATTATTTCCCTGGCACGCACACCAAGCACCCAGCTCAGTGCCTGAAATGCAGTGCACTTGGTCTTTTTTTTTCTTTCCTTTCCTGATACTTAAAAAAAAAACCTCTCTAACCTCTGGTTTTCAATTAAGTAGCTCCCTTTTGGGCCAGAACCCCTCTAGAGCTACCGTGGGCTGAGCACTGCACGTGTGTCACCTCCTGTAGTCACTTTGTAGGCAGGTGTTGTCCCCACTTGACAGAGGGGGAAACTGAGGCTCAGTCACTCAGCTTGCCCCTCGTGGGGAGCCTCTTCCTTCCGCTCACTCTGCCTGCCTCCCCACCACTTAGGGACCATCTTCCTGTGGATCTTCTGGCCTAGTTTCAACTCTGCACCCACCACGCTGGGGGACGGGCAGCATCGGACAGCCCTCAACACGTACTACTCCCTGACCGCAAGCACCCTCAGCACCTTCGCCTTGTCAGCCCTTGTTGGGAAGGACGGGCAGCTGGACATGGTATGGGAAGGAGGCCTTGGGAGAAGCAGAGGCAGGAACTGGCCAGGGGGGCGGGAGCGGGGGAGAGGTTTGAGACCCTGCAAAGCCTATTCTCCAGGGGCAAAGGGAAGGGCACAGGCACATGGAGTTCCACCTGCACTGGAGGCGGTGGGGTCAGAGTGAGAGTCAGTGGTACAACAGCAGGAGAGTCAGAGGTTAGATGGTGGAGGGACTTCCAGAGGCAGTGGCGGAGGGGCTTGGGTTGGATGTGGGTGTGACCGTTTGGAAGGGCCTCCCACGCCTTGCTCTTCCCTGCTCCCTTAGGTCCACATCCAGAACGCAGCATTGGCCGGAGGGGTTGTGGTGGGGACAGCAAGTGAAATGATGCTGACACCCTTTGGGGCGCTAGCAGCTGGCTTCCTGGCCGGAACCGTCTCCACGCTGGGGTACAAGTTCTTCACGGTACAAACGCCCCTCCAGCCCTGGGCGGAATGGGTCTTCAGGGCCCCTCCTCCCACCTCTCTAACAGGCCTGGGGTGGGAGGGCATACGAGACTCATTATTGGTGTCCTGTCCTCCAGCCCGTCCTTGAGTCAAAATTCAAAGTTCAAGACACGTGTGGTGTCCATAACCTTCATGGGATGCCTGGGGTCCTGGGAGCCCTACTGGGGGTCCTCGTGGCTGGGCTGGCCACTCATGATGCTTACGGAGATGGGTAAGAGCCCCCCCCCCCCGCCCGCCACTGATCCACACTGAAGTCATTACCCCTTGGAATGACCTCCCTCACTCTCTCCCCCACCCCATGTGCACCAACAAATGTGCATTTTCACTTATTCATCCCCATTCTGGGAGCTGAGGAAACCAGAGTGAGCAAGACCAACCAGGGGCTGCCTTCCCGGTCCCCGGTCAAGTTTAACAGGTCGCTGAACAAATGGTCTCAACAGTGTCACTACAGGGTCAGGAGGAGATCATGAGCCTTCTGATCACGTTTGCACATCAAGGCTCAGGGGAGAGGGCAGGCCAAAGTGACCCTCAAACTGAGTCTCCAACGGCATGGGGGTGTCTGCTGGCTCACGAGGAGGGTGGGTGGGGGTTCCAGGCTGCGGGCCTGACGGGGCAGAGACAAGACTCGGCCGGATGGGTTCCCGGAGGCCCTTGAGCGGCTGCGTGAGGCAATGCTCTCAGGCACCGACCCGCCCGCCTCCCCACAACCTCTCTGCAGCCTCCAGAGCGTGTTCCCACTCATCGCCGGGGGCCGGCGCAGCGCCACGGCCCAGGCCATGTACCAGCTCTTCGGGCTGTTTGTCACGCTGACGGTTGCCTCTGTGGGTGGGAGTGTTGGAGGTGAGTGATCTTGGCTGGGGTGGGGGGCTGGCAGGAGCTCCAGGGGGGGCAGAAGACCGGGGAAGGGGGTTCTCTGGAGGGGAGGCCATTGGGACATTTACTTACGCGGATATTTACTGAGCACCTGCTTTGTGCCAGGCGTGGGGTGGGGTGGTAGAGTTCAGGGGTGACCTCCTCGGGGCCAGGTGGAGCGCTCCGCAAGGGGCTGAGTTGGGTTCCTCTGCTCTGGTTCTGTGGTTTCCTTGTGCTGCTCCCTCTACCCACTAGAGGGCAGTCCAAGCTCAGGCTGAGGCCCTGGAGGACATGGCGAGCTGTGCATACTGTCCCCGCCCCGCCCCCCATCCCCCCGACCCCGCAGGGGCCCGGAGCCAAGGGGTTTGGCTTGGCTTACCACTAGATTGCAGCACAGAAAACGTCCACAGAGGCTGACTGCCCACTAATGCTGGCTCAGGCAGTCCTTCCTGATGTCTGGCCTTAGTCCTTTCGGTCTTCAGAATAAAAGCGATGATGCGGTATCTTCACCCTCCTGCTCTCAACTCGCGACTGTCATCCTCAGACAAGGTTCAGTTCATGCACTCATCCAGTTATTATTCAATACACACGTTCTGCACCCCTCCTGGACAGGAGGCCACAGAAAGCAGCCGTGGCTCACAAGAGAACCACTATTTGGTTCATTACCAACGGTGCCAAACCTGAATTCATTACCTAACTTCTCTGAACCTTCGTTCCTTCTCTGTAACGCAGGGACCACATTCACCTTCAGGGAAGGAAATGCTTGTCAAGCCCTTTGCGTGGCCTCTGGCACACAGTAGGTGCTCAGCAAATATGGCTGTGACTTGCCTGGGCTAGGCGGCTAGGCATCACGCCGACCCCAGGCCTCCCGGCTCCTCTGTGCCTTGTGGCCCTGGGTGGCAGCCTCTCCCACCGGGATAGCAAAAAGCCTCACACATCTTCCCCTACCACCACCAGGGTGCCTACTAAAGCTGCCCTTTCTGGATGCCCCTCCAGACTCTCAGTGCTTCGAGGACCAGATTTACTGGGAGGTAAGACCGAGCTGTAGCCCCTCCGGCCCACAGGGCCCTGTCACCCTGCCTGCCTCACTCCCTATGACTCCACCTGCCTCCTTCCTTCCTCACCTGCTCTTCTCCTCGGGGGGTGCGCCCCTGAGCTGTGGCATTCAGCCACCGGGAGCCACCCCTTGACCTGCTCCCCCACCCCACCCCTGCCCTCCAGGTGCCTGGGGAGCATGAAGATGAAGCCCAGGGACCCCTGAGGGCGGAGGAACTAGACTCTCAGGCCTAACTCCCACCAGCCCTTGAAAGGATGCTCCCCTTTTGGAAGATAATGCCTGGCTACGCTTGGCAAGTTCTCTTGCCGCTCCCATCCTCCCTTCCCGCGGCAAGAAGGAAGTCACGAGTCAGAAGGAGCCTCCTTTCCACAGGCAGCGCTAGGGGAAGGGCTGCAGAAGGCGCGCGAGACGGTGGAGGAGCAGGGCTACAACTGGCCGTATTGGGGGAAGAACCTCCCAGCAGCCTCACCGCCGCCACCAGCAGCCACACCCTGCTGTGAGGCACCCCAGGGACTGCTGACCACTGGTCCAGCATCACCCAGTTACAGTGCGAGCCAGGGCCCGGCTCTCCGCGGGCGATAAACACACGGTCACCAGGGACTCTGACTCCTTCCTTGTGCACTGGGGACTTGGGGGGGGGGGTCCCTCTCACCCTGTAACTCACAGTGTTAGAAACTGGGGGTGGGAGACGTCTCACCTCCCTGAGTCTCTGGGACTCCCTCAGGGATGCTGTGTTCTTCCAGGCGGGTACCCAGCATGGGCGTTCCTGCCTGAAGAGACAGGGAGCTCCGTCTCCCAGGAACCTGGGGCTGCTGGGGAGTTCTAGTCCAGAGCTGCTGTCACTCGGACCCCCAACATGGGCGGCTTCTGAGCAGAGTAGGAAGAGGGCACCCACAGGGCCTAAGAGGGGCATAAGGAGCTCTTTGCCGTTAACTCCTCAGAAGCTGGAAGCGGCCAGGCCCCGCCTGATGTCCCCGTCCCAAGTCCCAGGAGCAGAGGAACTCATGCGAGTTGCCTCTGAGAAGGGCCTCAGTCCTTCAAGTCTGAGCTGCTTCAAGTCATCTGACCACCAGAGGGCACTCCAGACCCAGCAGAGAGGAGGAGGCTTTCTTGCCCCTGTCCCTCTTTCAAGAAGAGAAGTTCTTCCTATAGCCTAACCGCCTTCCAGCCTGCTCCTCACCATTCATGCCACAGCTTCTTTGAGCTCCCAGCCCCCACTACGTGCCAGGCGGTGCTAGGGCTTTCAGATCTCCTCCAACAAAGACACCCACCCTCCAAGAGACCCAAGCTCTTGTCCCAGCCCTGAAGACCCGGGACCTCCCTCTGTCCTCTCCTGCCTGTCCCCAGTGCTTCCAGCAGGAACTGAGCATGACTGCGGGTCTTTCTCCCCCAAGACCAAGACCCAATCAGACCTAGGATGCCAAGGAGGCAGAGGAGGGATTTCTGGGACCTGGCCCTGTCCCAGGTACCCCATCCGGCTCCATCCTGGCCGTGGTTGGATGGACTGAGCTTGGCTGGGGGACTAGGTCAGGCACAGAGTTGAGAGGGGGAGGGCAGCTAAGGGACAATGTGTGGAAACCATCCCTGCCCCAGCCCAACTAGCTCCCCTTCTTCACTGCCCTCCTTCCTCTGCAGCCTCCCCTGCCCAGTGCTGGCCCGGGTAGGTGTGTTGGGGGAGATTCTGGTACTGAGGCATAGGATGGCTGCTGACACTGCAAAGGGGTTCCCAGTCCTGTCAGCCCCTGCTGGGCGGGAGGGAGTTTGAGAGAACTGAGGCCCAGCCCGCACTCCACCCTCTGGGGCCTTAGCTCCCAGTCCTGCCGACCTGCTCTGCCCCAAAGCTCCCAAGCAGTCCCCAGATCTGAAGACTTCAAGCAAGGAAGATGCAAGGATAGGATGAGACCCCTCCCTGCCCCAGCTCATTCTGGGTGGGGAAAGCTATGAATATTCATTTATTCATGACACGGACATTTGCTTGACCTATGTTGCCGGTTCCTCCTTGGCCACAACTAAATCTTCTCCAGGTCTGAGACAAAGGCTGGTCACTGCTCTCACCTCCATCCAGATCAGCTTCCTGAGCCCTCTCCGGTGGAGAGCAGTTACCCAGCCAGCTTCCAGAGGAAAAGGCCACAGGTCCCCGACGGCCCTCCAAGAGGCCCCTGGGGAAGGACAGTGCCTGCTGTCCCACAGACCATGGCCCTGCATCTCCTGCAGCCGGGCAATTCCCAGCTCTCACTCCCACGAGTCCTCCTGTGGCTGGAAGATGTGACCAGGGCACTGTCTGGAGGTGAACGCTCCTAAAACAGGCCCTTGGTTTTCCTCTCTGCATTTCCCTCCCGCCCTTCCCCAGTTTTGCTTCTAACGACGAGCACCTTGGTGGGCCACCCATAGGTTGTTCTGTTTAGTTGGCCTGAGCCATCACTGGTGGTCTGGGTGGGGGGCCATCTTCCCCATCGTGCAGGGAGCTCAGTGGGCAGGAAAGACAGGACCAACCTTGGCGCCCTCGGCTGAACCAGGACCCACCTCCTCCGTCTCCCCTGTAGTCTCTGACTTAGCACTGCTGCTCCCCGACATGGTGGCCCATCCATTCAGGCTGGGTCCACAGGGTGACAATGAGCAGGTCAGGAAGATGGCAGGGCTGGGGGCCAGGGGCTCCTTCCTCGCCCCCTCGGGACAATGCGGCCTCTGCCGGTCAGGGACAGCCCCTCTGATCACCACCGTTATTCCTCTCAATGCAGGGCCACCAGACACTTGCCCACTCATGAACTCTGTCCGGCACCAATGCCTGAGCTCTGGGACAGCGATGGGCCAGGACACTGGCCCATGAACATCTCCCAGAGCCCTACCGCTGGAGGCAGGCTGCCCGGAGGTCCTCAGTGCTGAGCCAGCAGAGCCAGAGGATCGAGAGCAGGGTTTCCGGAAGTGGCCACTGTTCCCTTCCTCTTGGCACAAGTGTGTGCGGGTGACGGTACCTGCCCAGAGCTCTGGGTGGGAGACCCAAGGGCCCCCAGGGCCTCAGGGTGCTTCTGTGCCTGTGCGGCCAGGTCCCCCTTGGCCGGGAGCTGGGAGCAGCCCGGGTGACCTCTGGAGGACCCGGCTCCCAGCCCAGGCGGCCTGGGAAAGGAGGCCTGGGACCTGACCCCCTCCCCCTCATTGGGATTCACATCACGGCATGCAGCTGCCCCAGCGGGGGTTCCTACGCGGCCTGGGTGTCCAAACTGGGGGGGTGGTAGCCGTCCAGGGGCAGACAAACCGGGCAGCCGCGACCCCCCACCTCAACTCGATATTTCTCTCCCACCGTCAGGATGGCCCAGCCGCCGCCTCCCGGCTCTGCGCCCCTCTCCTTTGTCTGCCGCCCGCCGCCCAGAGCCCTGGCCCATGCGCCCGCTGCCGGGAACCGCGGGGAACAATGCACAGCCTGTGAGAATTCCCTCGGCCCCTGAAAGGGGCGGGATGGGGGAGTCGGTCACTGCATAGGGATGAGCTGCCGGCCGGGCGCCCGCCCGCCTGGACAGAGCGCCATTGTCTGTGGCCGTCTGATCGCCGGTCCCCACGCCAGCCCCGGGAGGAAGGCAGAAGGTGACTCAAACCAGGCCTTGGGGCCAAGGAGGGCTGGTCACCTGTCCGCGCTGTGCTTACGCCTCTCCCCAAGGAGGGGTCAGACCCGGGGGGCCCACAGCTTAACCCTCCCACACACTCTCAGTAACCTGCCCAAGCCAGTGGTCGGCAAACTGCGGCTCGCGAGCCACAGGCGCCTCTTTGGCCCCTTGAGTGTGGCTCTTCCTAAGCCTTAGGAATACCCCTAATCAAGTTAATAACAATGTACCTACCTATATAGTTTAAGTTTAAAAAATTTGGCTCTCAAAAGAAATTTCAATCATTGTCCTGTTGATACTTGGCTCTGTTGGCTAATGAGTTTGCCGACCACTGGCCCAGGCGGTCCTTCCGTTGAGGCTCTGTCTCTTGGACGTTCAACCTGGTCCGTACTTGGTGCTCTTCCCACCCTCCCTACCTGCTGACCACGCCCCTCCTCAATCTCTGGAATCTCACAGGTCCCTGGAGCCAGGTCCCTTCCAGAACCCTAAGGGAAACGCCCAGAGTGGGCTGTGACTGTTCAGATGCCCAGGGATCCTCTCTTACTCGGAGCCCAAGCCTAGTCCAGGCTTCCTGCCTGCCTTCCTCTGCTGCCCACCACCAGTTAAGGAACCGCACGTTTTACTGGGAGAAAAGCAGCCATGGCGGGACTGAAATGAACTGAACGTATCCAGTGATGTGTGTGTGGGGAGGGAGGTGGGGGGCGGTGTTGCCACAGAAAGCCCCCTCCCACGAGTGAAAACGGGGAGCCCCTCTACCCACCCCAGCCCAGGAGCCTGTGCGCACCCAGCAGGTGCGATTGGGGGAGACGACCCGGCCAGCGGGAAGGGCGCTCTGTGCTGAGAGCAGGGTCCCTTTAGCTGGGAGCCAGCCCTGCTTTTGGATGGAACAGGGTACAGGCTGAGCTCCAGGAACGGGGCTGGAGACCCAGCAAGTGCAGGACCCGGGTCCCTCTTTTCTAAATGCCCGTGAAGACTTAGACCAGGGGCGGAGGCCACTCGGGGGGAAAAGCTGTTCGGAGACAGTGCAGTGATGCTTCTCGAACTCATCCTGGTTTAGGGGGACAAAGCCAACCAGGGCGACACCAACGTGAGAACGGTCTCAGGGAGCTCAGGTCTTGGCCCCAGGTGGCAGGAGGGGCTGAGTGAGGAGGAGGGAGAAGACGCTGGCAGGGCCAGCAGCCTTCCCAGAGGCAGGGTCCTAGCTACCCATGACATATTCACGTTAGGGCTGGCCCAGCCTTCCTCGGAGTAGAGCCCTTCCTCCTTTTCTCCTCCTTGATGAGGGTCCGGGTGCAATCATCCATCCTGGGGGGGGGTTGAAATGGGGTGGAAGAGGCGGGGCAGTAGAGCCTGGCTGCCTGGGAGAGCATGTGGGAGACTATTAAATAAAGGCAGGCCAGGGGACTTGGGGGGGCAGGGTGCCAGGGAAGCAGTGGTGCTCTGCCCACTCCCCACCTTCAGAAGGGGTCCTCCTGCAGCTTCTCACCCTGCAGCTCTCTTGGCTGGATCTCTGCTTCAAAGCATT